CATTTAGTCCATTTACATTTAAGGTTAATATTGTTATGTGTGAACTTGATCCTGTCATTATGATATTAGGTGGTAATTTTGCTTGCTAGTTGATGCAGTTTCTTCCTAGCATCGATGGACTTTACATTTTGACATGTTTTTGCGATGACTGGTACCAGTTGTTCCTTTCCATGTTTAGTACTTCCTTCAGGATCTCTTGTAGGGCAGGCCTGGTGGTGACAAAATCTCTAAGCATTTGCTTATCTGTAAAGGATTTTATTTCTCCTTCACTTATGAAACTTAGTTGGCTGGAAATGAAATTCTGTGTTGAAAATTCTTTTCTTTAAGAATGTTGAATATTGGCCCTCACCCTCTTCTGGCTTGGAGAGTTTCTGCTGAGAGATCTGTTGTTAGTCTGATGGGATTCCCTTTGTGAGTAACCCGACCTTTCTCTCTGGCTGCCCTTAACTTTTTTTCCTTCATTTCAACTTTGGTGAATCTGACAATTGTGTCTTGGAGTTGCTGTTCTTGAGGAGTATCTTTGTGGCATTCTCTGTATTTCCTGAATTTGAATGTTGGCCTGCCTTACTAGGTTGGGGAAATTCTCCTAGATGATATCCTGCAGAGGGTTTTCCAAGTTGGTTCCATTTTCCCCGTCAGTTTCAGGCACCCCAATCAGACGTATATTTGGTCTTTCCGCATGATCCCATATTTCTTGGAGGCTTTGTTCATTTCTTTTTACTCCTTTTTCTCTACACTTCTCTTCTCATTTCATTTCATTCATTTGATCTTCAATCGCTGATACTCTTTCTTCCAGATGATCGAGTGGGTTACTGAAGCTTGTACATTTGTCATGTAGTTCTCGTGTTATGGTTTTCATCTCTATCAGTTCTTTTAAGGACTTCTCTACTTTGGTTATTCTAGTTAGCCATTTGTCAAGTCTTTTTTCAAGGTTTTTAGTTTCTTTGCACTGGTTACATAGTTCCTCCTTTAGCTCTGAGAAGTTTGATCGACTGAAGCCTTCTTCTCTCGACTCGTCAGAGTCATTCTCCGTCCAGCTTTGTTCTGTTGCTGGCGATGAGCTGCGTTCCTTTGGAGGGGGAGATGTGCTCTGATTTTTTGAATTTCCAGCTTTTCTGGACTGCTTTTTCCCCATCTCTGTGGTTTTATCTGCCTTTAATCTTTGTTGATGGGTTTTGTTGTGGGTGTCCTTTTTGTTTGTTAGTTTTCCTTCTAACAGTCAGGACCCTCAGCTGTAGGTCTGTTGGAGATTGCTTGAGGTCCACTCCAGACCCTGTTTGCCTGGGTATCAGCAGCAAAGTCTGCAGAAGATAGACTATTGCTGAATAGTGAGTGTTGCTGTCTGATTCTTGCTCTGGAAGCTTTGTCTCAGGGGTGTACCCCGCCATGTGAGGTGTGAGGTGTTGGTCTGCACCTGCTGGGGGATGTTTCCCAGTTAGGCTACTCAGGGGTCAGGGACTCACTTGAGCAGGCAATCTGTCCATTCTCAGATCTTAATCTTCATGCTGGGAGATCCACTGCTCTCTTCAAAGCTGCCATATGGGGGCATTTACCTCTGCCGAGGTTTCTGCTGCTTTTTGTTTAGCTATGACCTGTCCGAGAGGAAGAGTTACAGAGACAGGCCAGCCTCCTTGTGCTGTGGTGGGCTCCACCCAATTTGAGTGTCCTGGCGGCTTTGTTTACCTACTTAAGCCTCAGCAATGGCGGGCGCCCCCCCCCATCCTCGCTGCCACCTTGCAGTTAGATCTCAGACTGCTGTGCTAGCAATGAGGGAGGCTCCCTGTGCGTGGGACCCTCTGGGCCAGGTGTGGGATATAATCTCCTGGTGCGCCATTTGCTAAGACCCTTCGTAAAGCGCAGTATTAGGGTGGGAGTTACCCAATATTCTAGGTGTTGTGTGTCTCAATTTCCTTTGGCTAGGAAAAGGAATTTCCTTCTCCCTTGTGCTTCGCAGGCGAGGCAATGCCTCACTCTGCTTCAGCTCTCGCTGGTCAGGCTGCACCTGCGGACCAGCGCCACCTGTCCGATATGACCCAGTGAGATGAACCCAGTACCTCATTTGAAAATGCAGAAATCACCCATCTTCTGTGTCACTCATGCTGGGAGCTGGAGGCTGGAGCTGTTCCTATTTGGCCATCTTGGGCTGAATCTTGCTCTGTTGCCCAGGCTGGAATGCAGTAGCATGATCTCGGCTCACTGCAACCTCTGCCTCCTGGATTCAAGTAGCTGAGACTACAGGTGTGCACCACCACACCTGGCTAATTTTTTGTATTATTAGTACAGACGGGGTTTCACCATGTTGACCAGGTTGGTCTCAAACTCCTGGCCTTGTGATGCCCACCTTGGCCTCCCAAAGTGCTAGAATTACAGGTGTGACCCATTGCACCTGGCCAGGTTTTTTTTTTCTTTCTTTCTTACAATAGAGGAGAGAGGTCTGGTTGGGACTTACTACCTTTCCCATGTAGTAGCTGTTCTCATTCCTCAGGCCCGCATCATGAGAGAGGATTTATCTGGTCTACATCTCTGACCCTAATCTTTCAGAAGACCCTGATGAGGTTTACGGAAAAGGGCTTAGAGACTGATGTGAAATTTCCTGTTTCTATGACTCCCAGGGCTTCTATATACTCATGCTAGCCTTTACTAATTTGTTTAAAATTGTAGCTGAATTTTTCTTCTTACTGGCTTCTATAGTGTCTGGCATCTGTCCCAAGTAAACAAGGGTTTGCATTCCTTCCGTCCTTGGAGGAGTCTGTCTTTCTTTATATTTTGGGTTAACTGCATGCCCTGATATTTCAGTTCTTTGGTAAATTCAAGTTGTGATTTTGATGGTCTGGCTTCAAAAAATTGTGACAGAGTGAGACTGTGTCTCAAAACAAAACAAAAAACAAACAAACAAACAAAAATTATTTGCAGGCCATGCCTGGTGGCTCTTACCAATAATCCCAGCACTTTGGGAGGCTGACTCAGGAGGATTGCTTGAGGCCAGGAGTTTGAGGTTACAGTGAGCTACTATCATTCCATTGCACTCCAGCTTGAATAACAGAGTGAAACCCTATCTCGAGAAAAAAAAAATTTTTCCCCTAAATTGGCTTCAGATAATTATTTTGAAAACCAAACAATAAAGTAAATAGCCCAAACACATTTATATGGATGATACCTACAAAGCACAAACATATATTTAGAAGTCCTTGAACAGTAAGAAGCAGCATAAAAGAGGAATGTAAATCTGTCCAGCAAAGACTCGTTTATCACAAAACCACCCTGAAACATCCAAGTAGGACTAATAAAAAGGGATCCTGGGATACAGACTTTGGAATATTCCATTAACTTCACTGCTCACAAGTTCTGACTAGTTTCTTATAAGTAATAGGAAATTTATAGCAGGATCCTTTATGTAAACCTCATGGCAGTAACTTGTACTTTTATCCTTAATAAAAGTGTATGAGATTCTCATCTCACTATGTAGGGTTACAAGTAACTTTTATGATATCTTTAAAAAGTTTCATGTTGAATATCTCCTCCATAATTAAAAAATGGATGTATTGGCTGAATTCATTCATTCATTTGACAAATATTCACTAAGCACCTACCACTTGCGAGGTACTCTGTTAAGTGGGGATACAGTGTGATAACGGCATGGAACTAATATCCAAGTCAACCATTGAAGTCAAAATTCTGGGCTGGCAAACTTTAGTTAGGAGTCCCCATTTTAGAAAATATTATTTCAAGCAGGCCTCCTTTTTATCCAGAGAGTGTATACAGTATAATGAAACTCAGTACACCAAGATTTATAGTTCTTGTGTTTTTCTCCCTAAGTAGAGTAAAAACTCCTTCAATAAAGTGATTGTGTTGTCAACCACTGCATATTCTTAAGTACCAAGATGCTTGACTCCAGGCAGGTGCTGAGAGAGTCTGTTGGGTGAGTGAATGTATATCAATGAAAATCAAACAGAGGAAATTTTCTTTATATATTTTAGTGTTCTTGTTTTTTTTTGGGTGTGTGTGATGGTTACTGGCTCTTCTCTAAGAATAATGGAGAAAAGGTGTTAGTTTATACTGTCACACAGGGCAGTCATAGGAGACTCTGACAAAGCAAATCAATCAATGTTAAATCAGAAATGAGAACGTAGTAAGGGGGTGAAGAGACGGGAAGAAAATGCATGGGAAAATATTGAAAAGGACAGAGTGATCAAAAACAGCAGGGACATGGGAACATTGGGCGGCACTCTGGGAGCCATTTAGTTTTATGCTCTTATTGTATGATTGAGGAAAAAAAAGGTCCTTAGTGGTTAAGTGGCTTTTCAATGCCACGTCAGACTTGTTCCATAGCAGTTGAATTAGGGGAAGGTGAATAAGTTGGAAGTTGGTGACAAGGACAGAAGTTGGAAACTAGAGAGGAGAGTCAGAACCAGAGGGAAATGAGAGACTGAACAGGCGTCTCAGGGTTTTTGGAGTGAATTTTCTTTGTTGCAGTCAGGGGAGGTTTGTCTGTTGGTTGCAGAAAGAAGTCAGAATAGAGATATCGTGGGGGTAGGTTTGTTTGGAACAGAAATCAAAGACCATTTTTTCTGAGAGAAGGAAATAACATCTGCAAATGACATGCTGTTTTTGCTACTTCCATTGCTAGCTGTTCTCCCAGGTGGTGGCAATGCAGACGGTAAGAACTCTGACAACTGCCCAGTTGGGTGGATGAAAGTCTGTGTGTGTGTGTTTGTGTGTGTGCACATGTGTGTATGTGTGTGTATATGTGTGTGTGCTTTCCCTAGCATATACCTGGAAAGTGAGAGTGCCAGGCTGGTTCCATTCTGACTGTCCATGACTCCAAGTCCCCGAGCTCTGAAGAAGGTGGTTGATAAGTCATGGGGCTCTGTGGCAAGCAAACGTCTGCAAAGACCATGATGGATCCCCTTTTCTCCAGATTCTGAGTTCCCCAACTCTGGCCTCTCTCCATTCTCTTTCTCAATTTCTTTCTCCCCATTCTATTTGTTCTTTTGCCACAGGGCTCAAGGAGCCTGTCTCCTTCCATGTCATCCGGATCGCATCCTTTTCTAACCATTCCTGGAAACGAAATCTGATCTCAGGTTATCTGGGTGATTTGCAGACCCACACTTCGGACAGAAATTGCAGCACCATCATTTTCCTGTGGCCCTGGTCCAGGGGAAACTTCAGCAACGAGGAGTGGAAGGAACTGGAAATGTTATTCCATATACGCTGCGTTCGGTTCCTTGAGGGAATGCATAGATACTCCCGTGAATTGCAGTTCGAGTGTGAGTTCAGTTTCCTCCATGGGGAGTGGGGAGGTGGGAGACAGGGAATGTCTCAATGTTTCTTATTCCTGTAGGAAACAGCCTGACTCTCTTCTGTATCTTGTTCTATTCTTTCCACCATAAAACTACAATTGGATACTTTTGGGCAAAGGCTCTTATCCAGATCCTAATTCTTCAAACAGTTCTGCTACTTATGAACTCCTCTATTATTGACTGCAGGGTTATGCATTATTACCTTTTCTTACAGGTATCCTATGGCCACCCTTCCTCCTGCCCTACAACCAGATACCTTCAGCTTTCTCACTTTCTCATTCATTCTCTTCAACAGTCTCTCTATATATACTCAATTGTAACCCATTGCATTCCATTCAACTTAAGTTGTTGTAATCCCAGTTGTCTTACACCAAGTTCTTCCTCATCCACAGCATTCACATCACTTTCTTTGACCAATCTGCCCTCTTCCATACGTTACTAATCTTTTCCTCCACCGACATCTTCCACCAATTCCTCTTTCTCTGAATCCCTGACAAACCAAATTTTATTCCATTATGTCAAACCCTGCAAACTTCCCCCTTCTGCTTCTGCAATCCTTGGTTCTACTCCTACAATCTTTTCTTCTACTCATTTCATTTTATCTTTTTTTCTCCCTCTTTCCCATATTTCATAACCCCAGATCCTTTTGAGATACAGGTGACAGGAGGCTGTGAACTGCATTCTGGAAAGTTCTCAGGAAGCTTCCTTCGGTTAGCTTATCAAGGATCAGATTTCATGAGCTTCCAGAACAATTCATGGTTGCCATCTCCAGTGGCTGGGAATATGGCCAAGCGTCTCTGCAAAGTGATCAATCGGAATCAGCATCAAAATGACATAATACACAGTCTCCTCAGTGACACCTGCCCACGTCTCATCTTGGGTCTTCTTGATGCCGGAAAGGCACATCTCCAGAGGCAAGGTCAGTCCTGCACCCTCCCTCCAAGAACCTTTGGTTTCAAAATCATACCCTTCCACCACCCCCTTCCAATCTGGAATAAGGAAGAGCCACCCAGAAGTGGGAAAGGCTGGGTGCAGTGGCTCACATCTGTAATCCCAGTGCTTTGGGAATCTGAGGCTGGAGGACCGCTTAAGGGCAGGAGTCCCAGACCAGCCTGAGCAACATAGTGAGACCCCTGTCTCTAAAAAAAAAAAATAAGTTAGCCAGTCATGGTAGCACATACCTGTAGTCCCAGTTACTTAAGAGGCTGAGGCAGGAGGATTGCTTGAGCCCAAGAGTTTGAGGTTACAGTGTGCTATAATTATAATTATGCCACTGCACTGCAGCATAGTGACAGAGTGATACCCTGTCTCAAAAAAAAAAAAAAAAAAAAAAAAAAAAAAAAAAAAAAAAGAAATGGGAACAATGTGTCTATCTAAACTTCTAAACTACTGTGGAGATATGAAACTCCAAGTCTGTATTTGAATATCTTTTCTGTCCTTTGCAGTGAAGCCCGAGGCCTGGCTGTCCCGTGGCCTCAGTCCTGGCCCTGGCCGTCTACAGCTTGTGTGCCATGTCTCAGGATTCTACCCAAAACCTGTGTGGGTGATGTGGATGCGGGGTGAGCAGGAGCAGCAGGGCACTCAGCGAGGGGACATCCTGCCCAATGCTGACGGGACATGGTATCTCCGAGCAACCCTGGAGGTGGCCGCTGGGGAGGCAGCTGACCTGTCCTGTCGGGTGAAGCACAGCAGTCTAGAGGGCCAGGACATCATCCTCTACTGGGGTGAGAAAGAGCTGGGGCCCAGGCTGGAAATGCCAAGGGGTGGTCCTCAGGCATAGAGGGAGGGCAAGCTGAAAATTTTAGGATTTTAGGGATTATAGCCCCAACATGAATAAAAATAGGTAAGCTAAGAAATGGAAGTATTGAAAATGAGGGCACTGTAGATGCAGGAGGGTGCTGAGGATAAGATGAAGAATCCATCTCTGAGCAGGGATGAGAGAAAAACAAAAAAAGGAAAGAGATTGGTAAGTTGGATACTCAAATGAAAAAAAGAAGCCAAGGGAATGCAGTGAAACAGGGAGTGGTGAGGTAAAATGGGTGGATTATAACATCCTTGGTGTCTCTCCAATTTCACAGAACATCACAGTTCCATGGGTTTGATCATCTTGGCGGTGATAGTGCCTTTGCTTCTTCTGATAGGTCTTGCGCTTTGGTTCAGGAAACGCTGGTGAGTTCTTTGCATGTGTCTTTCCTACTCTTATTTCCTACCCCACTTGTCTTCCCATGGTTTTTGTTTCTCTCTCCTCAGTTCTTCTCTCCCCAGTCCCCTTCCTTCTTACTCCTCAATTCTTAGCTCCACCTTATTCAGAGTGACTTCTATCTCTGTTTTCATCCAGTTTCCGTTAAGATACACCATGATCCTCCTTGTCACCCTTCTCCTTTTGAGGTGAGAGACCAGCAGTCCAACAGCTCAGGATACACCTGAACACATCGTGGTGATGACGTCCTCTAACTCTCCTTGTAAAACTTTTGTCAGTTTTGCTTGTTTCTGATTAATGATCATTTGTCAATATAAGCTCAATTTAGTTTTGCAGGATTTGTTGTTCTGACCTGGGTTCTGGGACTTTAAAATTCAAATTTTATCTCCAAATGGAATGGGATCCTAGCAATCTTCACATGTTCAACTATTAATGGATCATCAGGCTTGTTATAGATGTCCCTTATTCCCGAGGGCCTTCCCTGACTCACAAGTGGGAAACGGACTCTTCCTGGTCTGAACTCCCACCACATTTCAGCCGTACTTTGCTAACTGTACTCCTCACTTCCTCTCCTTCGTTGCAGCTATTTAGGTCCCCCTTTTCCTTCTAATTTTTCTACTCCTTCACTGCAAAGTATGTGTGTTTTTAATATATGCATACCTGGTGAAGGATCTTGCTGTCATGAAACATGTTCTCAATAAAACTCTGTGTTGAATTTATGCCAAATTTGTAGTCTTTTCTTATTCTTTTCCTTCCTGGTGCTTTTGAAGTACTTGAGACATTTGATACTCTTCTGGTTAAAAGCCTTCTTGGTTGGAGGAAATTTTACACATTCCTAGTTCTATAGTTTGTTCTCTGAGCTCCAGAGGAGAAACACAGTTTTGTCTCTTACTACTCCTATCATTCAACTATGGAGAGTTATTCGAGTTAAATTAGTGTTGCAGGTATGCAAGGCAGGATGTATATCTTTACTATTCAGTGGCTCAGGGACAACCAGCAGAGTTCTCACATTGGAGCTTGTTAGAAAGGTAGAATTTGGGCCTCACCTTAGATTTACTGAATTATAATTTGTATTTTGGAAAATCAGCAGGATACTCACCAGTCCACTAAAATTTGTGAGGCACTGATGCTGGTGATGCCTGAGATGTAGTACAAGTGTGTCACTGAAGAGAAAATGATGAAAAAAGGGAACAAGAGATTGCTCCTCAAGATTGAAGTGAGATCAAGGCAAGTAATATCGTACTGCACATTCTTATTATTCACGACAGTTATGTTCTGTGCAGTTGCTGCAAACACTGGATTCATGAGCACTGAGCCATGAATATGGCTCAGGGAAATACAGGTGTTAGGTTCTTGTGAGCTTTTTCACAACATTTTTGTTAACTGATGAATACATAAGCTTGTTTTATGTGTGTTTCTGTTTAAAGACATCTTATTTTATATATGTATATATTTATAATTAATTCATTATATGCAGTATTTCCATATAATAAAACACAATCTAAGAATTGTTTAGTGTATTCCTGACCTTGGTTAACATGATCATAAATTTCTTTGGTTTTCAGCCTTACAACATTGCTGTCCACTATACTTAAAAAAAATGGTTGTCATTTCATGAATCCACAAATGTAGCTATTTTCCCATAGCTTCAGCACAGCATTATAGATGTTACTTTCCCAAGCAACCTCATCTACAGATGGGTGAATTTCCTCCCCCTTTTCCTGCATGTACTGCACTCTTGATTTATTAACATTGAATTCATAGTCAACAACCATGTAACTATAACAAAGCTTATCTAACACACACATTTTTCCCTATAAGGCATGTCACAGCCTTCTTATGCTTAGGAAAATGAGACAACACTTAAGCATTACACTTGGGAGACATTTAATATTGTGAAATCACCAATCAAAAACACAAAAATGTGAAAAAGTTGGCACTATATAGACTACAAAAAGGACGCTTGTTTACTGTGTGAAAGCTGGAACGTGAAGACAGAGCACCACCTTTTTCTACCTTAGAAACATGTTCTTTGAGGGACTCAAATTTTGTACCTCTCTGCACATATTCATGAATGATTGTGAAAGTGCTATGAATATATATCTAGGGGCTACACATAAAATTTGGCAAGTAGACAAATTAGCAAATATAACATTTTTGGATAATGAGGATTGACTATTGACATCAGATGGTAGTATTTGTCAAGATATCCATAGCAAGACTTCAATTACTTTAGGATTCATGAATTAATTCAACAAATATTTCTTATGATTCTGCAGATTGATATTTTCATTTCTTATTTATTTCTCAGTTTTCTAGTACAGTAAGTTATTTTAGTTGAACTTGTGGAAAGCGACTTAGCTCTAATTTGTTTAGAAAATGGAGAAGAGGGGCCTAAGGCAAAGGAAACACCCAGGCAGACCAGGTGCAGTTGGCAGCAGCTGCATATATAGAAATTTTTGGAAAATGAAGGTGTGATGGGAGAAGGGGAAAAGAAAAATATGGGATAGAGGAAAGCAAAGAAGGGGACTGCTGCAGTCTTTCTACTTGGGTTAGACATGTTTGGTTCTAACCCATTTGGGTTTCAATCCACCTTGCCACATTTGCATAATAGTCGTCTGGCTTTTGGTTGGTTGATATCACCTTCAGCTCTAGCGATCAGCCTAAGGCACTAATTCGAACTCATCCTTGACAATGTTATAGGCTAAAGGATGGAAGGTAACTTGAGATTTAAGCCAATCATCGTATAGATCCTACTTACCCTTGCTCAGAGTGGTCGTTCAGGGCTATGTACCTGTTCTAAAATGACTTTGTTTACATGACACCTGATTCTTGTGTTTGACAATAGGGAAAATAGATGCTCTCTCTTGTCCTGGGTGGTATGGTGGGAGGTATAAAGCTTGAAACAGCACAAGTCATTTTTTTTCAGCACCAGAGAGATCACACAGGCAAGAAGGTAGAGGCAACGGACTCTCAGAAGAGTCCAGATTAAACTGTATCCAAAGCCTGAATGAACCCTGTACTTCTCAGTGATGGTAGATGATACATTTCCTTTACTGTTTCAGCCTATCATGTTGGGTTTTCTCTTGTTTGTGCTTGAAAGCATCCTATCTGATGTACATGGACCATAGGGGACACTTAGCTGATTTTACTCTTGGTTGAAGTATTCCTCTTTATTTCCATCTTCCTCTTCCTCCTTTCCTGGGATTGGCTGTGTTTTAAAATTGATTTGTTTTCTTTCACGGGTTGAGTATTCTTTATCTGAAATGCTTGGAATCACAAGTGTTTCAGATTTCAGATTTTGGGGGGGGGGGGTTTAGAACATTTGCATATATCTACCAGCTGAGCATCCCTAATCTGGAAATCTGAAACTTGAAATGCTCCAATGAACATTTTCTTTCAGCATCGTGTCTGTGCTCAAAATGTTTTAAATTCGGGAGCACTTTGCATTTCAGATTTTCACATTAGGAGTATTTGACCTATAGTTTTTTCTTATATGTGTCCTTATCTTTTTAAACTCTTACACTGTCCTGTTTTTAACTATGCCACCTGGATTAATTACTCTTCTGAACTTTTCATATGCTTCTGACCAGGAATAAAAGTGCTGCATCTGCTGCTAAGTGAGTGACTTTGGAAAGGTTCCCTGATCTTTCTTCTTTTATTCGGTTAAATGGAGGCAAAAATATATACTCTTAGGATTTTCATAGGAATGCAAAGGCAATCTAGTGTTATTAAAATGCCAGGAGTTTGGTCTACGCCCTGCTGCTTGGACATAGAAAACCAGTTACTGAGGCAATGAGTATTGACAGGGAAGAGGGCTCTAGGTAGAGGTAAGGAAGAGGAGTTGGTCAACAGCAAGTAGGTGTTTGTTTAAGCAATCATGATGGGTGAGGAGTCTGACATCTCATTGTCCAGATGCAGTAGTTTGGTAGGTTTTAGTTGTTTTTGACAAAGTTTTGGTTCTTTGGCCAGGAATGTATTGCTAGTAACTTGGCTGCTGTGGGCTGGGAGAATCTCAAAAGCCCTCCTAAGCAGCTGCCAACACTTTTTTGGCCACAAGTGGATGTCAGTTTTTCTTTCTCTGGCCCTACGTCTGCTGGCCCCAGTCATGTTCCTGATCGCCTAGGAAGAGCAGCCGTTGAAATGTGTCATCTAAGTCTGGATGGGTGAATGTCTTTTGTGGGTACCAGGTAGTGGGATCTTCTGCTCTCAATGTGGGGAATTCTGAAGGAATTTCCATTTGCAGGTTGAACAAGCCCAACTGATTGATACAGGAAAGCACCCTGACTGTTCCAGTTTGGACACATTTGGAACTCGTTAGTTGCTGCAGCAATTGGACAGTGTTTTAGTGATTGCTTGTTTATTTGTGTGTGTCAATATAGTCATAGGAAATCAGAATTTGATAACCTGATAATATTTTGTAACACTGTTTGGCTCCAGTGTTCTTTGGAATCTGGAGAAGTTTGGCTTCTCCATGGGTCATGCTGTTGAGTGAGACAGTGGAATGGTGTTACAGTGTTACGTATATCTAGGCTTTTAGGCTGCTGTTCTAAGCAGGGTTGGGCCTGGTTAGTACATGATGTTCTTCTATAGTGCTGTTTGGCCCCAGTGTTCTTTGGAGTCTGGGGAAGTTTAGCCTTTAAAAATCGAATGGCCACAGAAACTGCTTTACCCAAATTTTGGTTCAAAGCCTTCATTGGATCACCTACTGGAGCAAACAAAGTTGAGCCATGTGAACATGTTCCTAAACCAGTGCGCTGGTATTGCTATCTCATGGCTAGAGTTTCAAGGTAAAAGCTAGTACACCTTTGTGTGTGTATGTATATACATGTTTAGATGTGTTTACGTGTATGTACATTTATTATGTTGTATGTTGTGTCTACCAAATTGGCTTATAAATAAAAAAGCATCTCATGCACTAAATAAATAAATCAAAGCCATTTTCAAGTTTATGTGACTTAAGTCATCTTTACTAAAAAAGCTGGCTTTAAAATCATTGGTAAGGTAAAAATAGGAAGGTCTTAACAATGTTAGAATACATTTTGGTCTGGATTTTATAATTGTCTTTGATAGATAATTTGAGGTGTCAGCGTTTGCCACAGAAGGTTATAAAAGTATAAACCCAGCCAAAACAAAATGATCTTTGTTTGTGTGCCTTCTTTGGCAAATAAGACTAATTAAATGTTGTTTGTTTAATAAAAACAGCTGAATCTTCTAAGTTATTGGCAAAAATACCTATGTATTTAAGTTGCTTACGTAGGTGAGCACCTAATATTCATAGGCTACAAATAATGGTCAACAGAGCAATAACCTGAAATGATGACTACCTTTGTCTTATATCTCAGTTTTCAGAAGGAACTTATATAAACTGTTTAAAAAGATGAAAGAATTGAATACATGTAAATGGGATACATGCTTGTAGGTGAGCTTTTTGTGTAATTTAAAATCTTAAAATTATTTTTGATGCTTCTTGGATGTCTGGGTCATTTCCAATTAAGAAAGGGTTATATATACTGACAAACCAGATCCAGCAGCACATCAAAAAGTTTATCCACCATGATCAAGTGGGCTTCATCCCTGAGATGCAAGGCTGGTTCAACATACGCAAATCAATAAACATAATCCAGCATATAAACAGAACCAAAGACAAAAACCACATGATTATCTCAATAGATGCAGAAAAGGCCTTTGACAAAATTCAACAGCCCTTCATGCGAAAAACGCTC